GAGTGTTAACAATAACAATATCTTTAAGGTAGAGTTAGAGCAGCTACGATCGGCGGACAACCTTGAGACGACAATCTATCGAGGGGTCTGTCGTGAAACACGATTCATACGCTCGTGTGAACGCCACTGTGTGACCTTTGCCTCTTGTTTCACGTATGATATTTTTGCTCGTGAAATTTCGTCGGATACGATGTTCCTGTATATACATGGAAAACAAGCACAAATAACATAACTAAAAACAAGCAGCGTTGAATTTCTGCCGTTCAGGCTGAATTTCATACATCGTATTCACTTGCGACGAGAACGATACAATTTAAAAAAGAAAAAAGAAAGAAAAAAAATGTAGTCTTGCTGATCCATCTTCATGATTTGACTAGCGAAAAGAAATCGAAGGGTTTGCAGAAAGAAGGAGAGACAGCATCACTTTTTGTTACACATTTCATTAAGAAGATATATGCACAAAAGTGTTAATAGATAATACGATTTTTCAATTTGCAGCACGTTTAAGACAGCATTTGATTTGATTTGAAAAATTATTCAAAAGCAGAGCTGTCTCTTCACTGCAGCAGTCTCTTCAATTACGTCGCTCTTCTTGATTTATACGACACTTTATGCTGCACTTTATAAACGCGTCTTATTATGAATTACACTGACAAGACAACAAGTGAACTGTATGAATTGTATGAATCGCGTTGTTTATTCGTAAAATGGGATAATGACCCAATTCTGTTCTTCTTCTCTTCAAGTTGTATCGCTTTCATCGCAAATGAACGACAACGACAACGTAAATATTAACTAAACCTCTAATAATCGCCAACATAATTACTCAACAATTAAATTACATTTGTCTTGCTAGCTGTCGAACAAAGTTTCGAAATAGAAACAATTAGAGAAACAACATAGAAATAATTAGAGAAACAACATATCGTCAACACCAATATATATATCGGCAACAATTTATATTATACAGTTAACGAAATCATTTAAGGCACCTTACATACAGAAACATCGTCGAATTGCTTTGAAGACCAAGAGGATAAAAACTCGCGACGATCTTCGTCGCGGTTGATGCACTCACCTCGTCAATTGGCTCAAGAGTCTCGCCTCGTAGTCCCTGGTAAGGTAGAAAATCAAGCCAAGTATATATACTTTATTTATAATATAGATCCCTCCTAAAACAACCTAAAACCTAGCCTACGTATTTTTTTTTT